AGTTTTTAATTCAAGATTAGCTAATTCTTCTTGAGTCATGTTATGTTGTTTATTTAATTCAGTCATTTGTTGAACTAAACGAAGACGTTCTTGAAGAATTTTTTCTAATACTGTTTCATTCTAAAAAAAGAAAAATAACAATCGTTTTGTCAATATTTTTATTATAAATATACCTTTGAAAAAAATGGTAAAATATTTGAGGTTTCATCTGGTGCACTAATTTCATTTCTAAGTGAATTACCAGTAAAAAGACCTGATTCATACATATTATATGTCGATGTTTTGTGGATAGGAGTAATTATTGATGAACATGGTTCTTGATTAATACTTTGATAGTGTTGAATCTGTTTTGGAATATCAATATCGTTTGTAGAGATAATTGTTGTTGGTCGTGTTTGATTATTTGAAGCTTGTAAAGTTTCAAGATAGGTTGAAGACAGATTCATGGAAGGATTATTCGTTATTTGATGATTAAGATTAGAATTTATAGGTGTAACTATAATGAATAAAATATGAAAATGTTGAGGACTATATATAAATAGTGATTAAATTATCTTTTTAGGAAACATTATGAATATTTATAGATTTCACTCTCAAACGAAAGAAAAATTTTACCATTGTTCATTCGATGTGCAAGCATAAGTAATTGATCCATTGCATTCGTTTTATCTTTCGATAAAATATACGGTCTTTGCACATTATTTAACCAATTTTGATGTGATTCTAAATCTGTTTGATCCCGATTATTACGAGATGTATAAGCTAAAATAATTCAACAAATAAAATATTTATTTTGTTTTATGAAGAATAGTAAATAACCTTGGCATTTTTTATTTGGTAGTATTTCATTATTAATCAGTTGACATATAGTTTGCATCATAGTTTGTAATGTTATCATTTGATGTTCAATTTTCTGTTGAAAATCTAATTGACTTTTAATAATAAATGAAATTTGATCTTTAAGATTATTTAATTCTTGTTTTTCGTTAGAATTTACAATATACTTATAAACAAAAACAATTTAAATGGAAAAAAAATCATATAAATATCTACATACTTGTTTAACATGACCTGTGAGTGTTATAAGTGCTGTAATAAGTGCTGAACTACATGTATTTGATGAGAGATCATTTTTATTTGATTTAAAATTTGTCATTGATTCTAAGTCATTTAATTCTGATGAAAGTCGATCGAATAACTAAATATAATAAATTAAGAATCTATTTAAAAAATAATTTCTAGAAGAATCTATACTTTTTTTAATTGATTAGGTGATGTATGTAAATTTGGTTCAATATCATTGGATTTTTCATTATGTGTAATGAATGAAACCTTATTTCTTGATCGTATATTATTTGGTTGAGAAGAAAGACTTGAAGAACGAATCATTCGTTGTCGTTTATCATGCTTCTCATTAGAACGATTTAAATGGATAAAATCATCTTCTATAATATCTACATATAAAAATATATAATATTACTACTCGAATAAAAGATAATTTATCAAACCTTCTGTAGATTGATTCCTATTGACAACATTTGATGTAGGTCTAAACATTTCGAAACAATTAAACTAATAAATCGGTTTCAGATGTTTTTGTACTTCTATTATACATCTGTAAGAATTCATTCACAGTATAATCGAAGTGAATGTAAACAATCCATTCGGATCCATTTCCTGCTTCAAGAATTCTTATGAAAAGAGTTGACTTAAGTATCCTCTTACACTTAAAACGTTATTATAGTAGAGCAAATAGTTTCTTTCTCTGATCAACAAACTAATTCATAAATCTCATCGTTATCTAAACAACTGGAACGAATTTTTTTTTCTTTTAACAATTCTTATCGTTTCAATGTGAGAGAGATAAAAACTCAGCATCCATTTTTTTATACATGCTTAATATTAGATAAGATTTAACATTTGTTTGTAGTTAATTTGATTATATAAATGACTAAATATGTTTACCTTATTTTTTGAATAGAATGATTTTTTTCATTGGATGCCTAAAATTAATTTACTTATCAAGTCATTTTAATATTCTAGTTCATCTTACATGATTAGTTTTTAAAAGAGTTTTATCTATTTTATTTGATCTTTGTATTAACATATCAGACTATATTAAAATATAAAAAGTAATTACTGTATTTATTTTAAATGTTATAATTACATTCTGTTTATGCGAAAGTATTTCATATAAAATAGCTAATTGATTTTTAGTTTTTCCAAGATCATTTGCAGTTAAAAATTGTTGTTTTTCTTTTTGAATTGATTCATAACATGGTCTTCGTCGAGTCTAGAATAAATATTCTTTCCATTCAAAAAACAAAACTACCATAAATGAATAAACAATATTTACAGCTTCATCATCATCACTAAATCTTTCACCCACAGACGACTAAATATATTTTAAATAATCATACTAATACAAAAGACAAAAAAAAACATCATTATCATACATCTCGATGCTTCGTTAAAGTTTCTTTTCGATGTGTCATTGCCTTCGACATATTGTTTAATGAACATAATATGAACTATGAAAGAGATTGGACCATTAACAATATATTCCTATGACAACTGACCTTTTCAACGTGCGTCATCTATGCACAAGAGAAACGTATTTTATTCAATATAATTAGAGATTATGTATTCTGAATTATAAATAGCAATTCATTAAAGAACGGATATTTGATTATTTATTATGGAATGTAAAAATGAGAAAAAAATTCTATACATCATTCAATTCATTAAAATTCTACACCAAGTTTTTCTTGTTGTTTTAATTTGTCTTGTGCTTCTGTTTGTAATGTTTCCAACTAGAACAGATTAATTTTATATAATTATATTTCTAAAATAAATTTTAACAAACCTTTTCTAATGTTAAAGATTTTAATGGCATAATTTTTGGTTTTGATATAACATATTTAAGTTGTTCATCAAAATAGAGTAAACCTTGTGTTGGTAAATATTCATCAATACGTGTTTTTTGATTGTCAGACATCTACAATTAGATTAATTTTATTATATTTATATTCACTTTAAATTTAAAAAAAATATGCTAAATATATCACCCTAGATATTTTCATAAAAAAAAGAAACAGAAATTGCATAGCTGGAATAAATAAAACAAAAACCAAGTAAAAATACAAATTCACGATCATTTTAAAATGTTTTTTTCAACTAGTTTTGCGTATATATCTCTCTCTACATATATTTTTAATTAGAAAAATAAAAATAATATTAACATTTCCATTTAACAATTTTTCTTTCAGCAACAAATTCACCACGTGGAGATTTTACATTTGGTTCAAGTGTAGTCAAATAAACGGGAGTATCAGCACCTTGTTCTGGCGTACCAGTACCTTTATTCGATGTCATATCAGTATTTATATAACCAGGACAACAAGCATTTACAACAATATCTCTATGCGGTTTATCATCAAAAATTCGTTGTTGAATTATAGTTGCAGCAGTCAGAGCAATTTTACTCATACCATAAGCAGAAGCTGGATAACCATCATCTTCATGCGAATTTTGTTTTGCTTTTCTATAGAGAAACAAAAAATATAACAATAACATTTTCTTTTGTCTTATTTCATACTTTATAAAATCACTAAGAATATCAGATACACTTTCAATAGTTGCATCAGGTGCAATGAGATTTTGACGTATTTCAGCATTTTTTATTGAATCAAGCATTTTATATCGACTAGAAATATTGACTACGCTATAAGAAAAAAAAATATAAAATTTGTATATTTATTATTAATTCAATTGTAAAAATAAATCACAACAAGAAAAAAGAAACAAGACAACAAACCGTGCATGATCTTGTAGAAGCGGAAATAGAGCATTACAAACATTAATCGTACCGAAAAAATTTGTTTGTGCTGTTATTTCAGCTTGATCACCAAATGGAGTAACATCATTTGCCTAGATAAATAATATTTATAATACAACTGAAAAAACAAAATTTGTTTTCTTATTACTTTAAATGCAATAGCAGCATTATTTATAAGAATATTTAAACCATTGTGTGTTTTTTTAATATAATCAGCAAGTCGACGAATACTTTCAACATTTGTTATATCTAATTGATGAAATTTCACTTTATTTTTCGCATCAGAATTTGATTCTTGAAGTTGTTGAACAGCTTTTAAACCAAGTTCTTCATCACGTGCTAAAAAATGTAAGACAAATATGTTTTATATAGAAAAAGGTAGATCCACACTGAATATGAATGATGATATAGTTAATTGAGAGAGACATAATCGATATAAGTCGTAGGAAATGATAGAGAGAGAGAGCTTTTGTCAGTACCGGATGTTAGAGTCAACATCAAGGATAGAAAGAAAATGGAGTTAAGGAACTGTAGTCTTCAATTTTTCCAGAACGTTTACTTTGACGTATAGATAATAGAAAATCAATTATTTTGTATGCATTATTAACGGAAATAAGAAATTTACCTACCAGTTAAATAAATAATACCATCAAAAATCGAACAAAGTTTATCTACAATTGCATAACCTATTCCTTTATTTCCTCCAGTAACCTAAAATGTACCAAAAAAAAAGTAAGAATTCAAAATTGTATTGAATCGATATATTTACTTACTATAGCTACTTTGTCTGTCATTATAATTTCGCTGTTAATTCAAACAAAAGAAGAAAAAAAACGTTTTTAATTAATCTAAAATTTAAAACATAGATGGATAGACCAAATGGAACTTTTTTTGAAAAAATGGAAATAGGGTATTGCACTTATGATTACTGTACTGGCTATCATGAAAAAATAAAATTTGAATGTAAAATACTTGATTACCATGCATGTTCTTGACAATTTTCATCAAAATATTTACCCGTTGGTCCATCATCAGGTAATGTTGCTAAGAAAACCGATGACTTAGCTCCAATTTCAACTGAATGACCATGAAAATTCGTTAAATCTGTTGCTGTTAAACCAGGTGTACAAGCATTAACTTTAATTGTAGTTTTTTTTAGTTCTTGTGCTAATTGATACGTTAACATATTAAGTGATGTTTTCGATGCACTATATGCCAAATGAAAAAAACAGTTTGCCTGTGATTCATGAAAATGAAATGAGCTAAGACCACTTGATACATTAACAATACGTCCAGCTGTTGATTTTCGAATTAATGGTAGAAATGCTTTCGTTACAGAAAATGCACCAAAAAAATTAACATCAAAATTGTGTCGAATATCATCTACAGTTAATTCACTTGGACGTGGTTCTTTGACATAAACACCACTATTATTAATAAGTATATCTAAATGACCATATTTATTTGTAACTTCATTAATAGCTGCATCAATTGTTGATTGATTAGTAACATCAATTATGATTAATGATACAGGAAGATTTTCAGTAGTAAGTTGTTCAACAGCTTTTTTTCCTCGTGCTTCATCACGAGAACCAAGAAGTACATGAATACCTTTTTGAGCCAATTGTTTTGTAATTTCAAAGCCAATTCCTTTATTAGCACCGGTAATTAATGCAATTTTAGTTGTATCAGCTGTTGCCATGATATCAAATTTTCTATCAACAAACCTTCGGAATAATAATAAACTGAAAGAATGAATAAATTATTAATATTATCAGCAGTCATCTATTTCTCTCTCTCATTTCTTGTTTATTATTGATTGGTTCAAAATGAACGAATAAAAACCTCAACTTTTATTTTGTTTGTGTTTATTTTCTCTTTATTGTTTTTTTTTATTATATCATTCTCAAAACGTATTTCAATTGTTTTCTTTCTAATAAGACGAACTATTTTTTTTTTGTTTTAATAGAAGATATTTTTTAATAAAACTTCAATGGCTTCATCAGAACCAACACCTATGAATACTGACGAAGCAGATATTCCCAGTGGTTCAACAACGACAGATTCATCAGCTGGACAACGTAAACGATTTGAAGTTAAAAAATGGAATGCTGTGACTTTATGGGCATGGGATATTGTTGTTGATAATTGTGCTATATGTCGAAATCATATTATGGATCTTTGTATTGAATGTCAAGCAAATCAAGCAGCAGCAACAACTGAAGAATGTACTGTTGCTTGGGGAGTATGCAATCATGTATGTATTATATTTATTCATTTATTTTAATTATCAAAATATTTATTTCATATAAATTAGGCATTTCATTTTCATTGTATATCACGTTGGTTGAAGACGCGACAAGTATGTCCATTGGACAATCGGGAGTGGGAATTTCAAAAATATGGTCGTTAAAAAAAACAAATAGATATCTTGTGATCTGTTCTTTCATTAAATAAACACTTTCTTTTCTTTTTATACAACTGAGAATTAAAAAAATACTCTAACATCTCATTTCTTTCTTTAGATATCTATATGACTATGATTCATTCAACACAATTTCAGTAATCTTAATTGATACATATAAAAAGAAATTTTTATTATCCGATAATATCATATGTCATTAAAAGATTATAAATTATATTCAAATAATAATAATATACTAGATGTCGCACTTAGTATAAAGGTTATGTTAATATTAGTGTAAAGAAAATTATAAATATTTCATTGATAAATAGATTTAGAAATTAATCTAATATTTATATAAAATATAGTAAAGCATGTTGTATCTTATCTCGAGTATTTTATTTCTTTTTTGTATAATTAAATTTATATATAACTGATATTTATTTCATTTTTAACTCGAAATTGATATTGTATATCATTTATATGACAACAAAGAAAATTACTAGAATAGATTAAGTAGACAAAATTTGTTTTTTTTTTGTTAGACAGGTGATTTATGATCCGTATTATTTGATAAGACAAAACCGATATATGTTGAACTAAAACTATTATATCTTTATTTGTCAAAAAATATTATTCTAATGTTGATTGACGAATATTATTATCATTAAAAGAAAAAAAATCATCTTTCTTTCCTTTTTTTTTCTTCGTTCTGCTAGTTTTTTTTCTGACTATTTCTTTTCTTTAACGTTGCATTAAATTGTTTTTTTCTCTCTATTCTACTGTATGCATAAGCGCCCAAGTGTCTCTACACGACGTCTGTCGCCAACTATTACATTCATTCGTATCTTTTTATAGGGCATAGGACATAACGACTAGTACATATCTACGTATTTCTATCAGTCAAATAATTTTTTTTCTTCTTGTTTTGCTGTTTTGGATCTGTTTCGCTCTATACCATAACTAATTAATGTAAACATAGACGTGTTTACTATCTATTTTTCAGATCTGATGATTACAATAAATAATGTGTGAACAAACAAAACGTTACTTTTCTCCACGTCTTCTTGATTATGTGATTATAGTTGGTTGTCGTCATCCAAATAAACATAATCATGTAACGCAAACACCTGAATTACTTCGACGTTATCCATTAGAAGATCATAAAGATTTTGCTTTACCACCTGATGTTATATTTTTTTGTCAACCTGAAGGTTGTATTAATACAGGTCATCAACGAACAGCATTTCGTCAAATAACATCATTCGTATTTACATTAACGGAAAAAGATTCAAATCGACAACGTTTTGGAATATGTGTAAATTTTTATCGACATTTCTCACGACGTACATGTTCAATACATAATCCAAATCAACAAAAAACTGATTCATCAGATCATGGATTAAATGAACAAACTGAGGGTACTGATGAACCGGATAATACTGGACGTAAACGTAAACGACGTTTAAGAAATAATACATTAACATCTATTTGTCTCATAAGTCATCATCCATTTTTCACACGATTTCGTGAATGTCTAGTTACATTAAAAACAATAATTGATGCTTGCAATGAACGATCGTGTGCAAAACGCACAGGTGCATCAAAAGGAACATCTAGGTTAGAAGACAAAAAAAACCCTCATTATTTATATTCTTTTTTTCTTTTAGAGAAACTGTATGGGGTGTATTAACAGGTCAAGCATGCGAATGTACATCGAATTTAGTTGGACATGAAGTACGAGAAATTGAAACATGGATATTACGTTTATTGAGTGCACCTGTTTCTATACCAGGAAAAACGAAAATTTTGGTAAAGAAATAAAAATAATCAAAAGTATGAAATATTTTTTTCTTAAATTTAGATTGAAACATTGCCAAATGAACCACCAATGTTATTTGCTCTACCTGATCATACACGTTTTTCATTAGTTGATTTTCCGCTTCATTTACCACTTGAATTATTAGGCGTAGATTTATGTATACGAGTTTTAACATTAATTATGCTAGAGAATAAGGTAAGCTAGAACAAAAAACTATTATCTATAAATAATATTCTTATAATTTAGGTTGTATTTCAATCTCGTGATTATAATGCATTAACTATGAGTGTTTTGGCATTTGTTGCTTTACTTTATCCACTTGAATATATGTTTCCTGTCATTCCATTATTACCAACGTGTATGACTGGTGCCGAACAGGTTGATAAGAAAAATTAAAACTATATGATTGAATATATCTATACATATGTATTGTTTATTATTTTTTAGCTTTTATTTATTCCAACTCCGTTTATCATTGGTATTCCAGCAAGTTTTTTTCCTTATAAAGGAATAACACTACAGCAATTTGATGATATATGGATTGTAGATCTTGATGCAAATCAGGTTAGTTTATTTAACTTTTTCTTTTTTTTATATCAAATTTGTATTATGAGGAATATTGAGTTGTAGGCATAAGAAAATCCGTTATAGTCAGAGTTATTGTATATATATACGGAAAAAAAAACGGTAGGAAAATATCGATTATATAAAATATTGACCTACATCGATTAGTAATCATAATTCGCTTATATTTCACATTTGATTTTCCATAAGAATTATATTCAAAAAATTAATTTTTATTTATTTCATATATTATAGATTGTTCAACCAAAACAATCAGAGCCATTTTTCGACATTCCAGAATTTGAATATAATATATTAAGTAATCATTTAAAACAAGCATTAGGTAGTATGTCAAGAGATCCTGAACCAGTTCAAAGTTTTGATGCTATGCTCAATGATAAGTCATATTTAATGTCAGCTAATACTTCTGTTCCATTACCATCAACATCATATAATCCATTTATATATGGTAATGATGTTGATTCAGTTGATATTGCAACACGTGTTGCTATGGTTCGATTTTTTAATTCACCAAATATAATGGGCAATTTCAATGAACATACAAGAACATTAAGATTACATCCACGTGCTGTTGTTGCTTTTCAATATAGTAGTTTTGTTCGATCAAGACCAGTTAAATCAGCCTATATTATTCGTTTAGCAAAAACTCAAGTAAACGAAAACAAAAACATTTTTTTCTATAATAAATTTTCATTTTAGGCAGTAGAATTCTTTGCTGAATGGTCACTTTGTCCAGATAATGTTGCATTTTTACGTGTACAAACAGGTGTTTATGATCCAGCTTTGATTGGTGATAAACCAAAATGGTATAGTCGAAATTTAACAACAATACCATTTAATATAATCGAAGAAAACAGTACACTTGGTCAAGCAGTTAATTCATTTAATAGCAAATTAAATGATGTTGAACATACACCAACAGGTAACAAAAAATACGAAATCTTACAAAATTAATATAATAACGTTCGTTTTTAGATGAAAGTGGAAGTGATTCTGAAGATGATAGTACAAATTCTGATTATTCATCATTAAGTGAATTCGTATCGGAAATGAGAAATAGTGAGATATGTGGAGAAATTCGAGGTAAGCAAAACAAACAAAATTTTTTCTTAACAAAAAAAAATATTTTTAGTTGCAAAAATTTATCCTGAAAATCAAGAAAAAACAGCATGTGTAGAATATTCTACCGTGTATAGTCCACCGGAAGAATTACAAATTCCTGATGGTTCACAAAAAACTCCCAGTCCAACTGCAAGTGGAAATGAATCAAGTCAATCTATGAGTGAATCAACAATAAGTTCAAGTTCAAATTCACTTGCAAATTCAAGACTTAATTCACCCAGTGAAGATACAAATGAAATGTTACCGGATCTATCAAATAATTTACATGATATTGATTCAAAATCAAGTTCAGCAACAATTACACCAATTACAAAAAGTTTTCCAAAGTATAAAGTTCATTTTTTTTTGAAATTTCAATCTTCAACTTTGTCTTTTTAGACCACTTTTTGATTCAAAAACATTGAATAGCGAAGATAATACTGCACCATCTTCACCTCCGGAAAATCGTTCAAAGAATCTAGCAACACAAGCAGTTCTTAATCAACGTCTTGGTGCAATTGTAACACGTGCAGATAGTCATGATTCAACTTCAAGTGCAATATCAAAATCTGGACGTGTAACTAAAGTATGTATTTATAGATAAAAGTAGTTTTTAGGAATTTCAAATAGATTTAATGGAAATTTTTGTTGAGTAAATAGAAAACAATAACTGTTTGATCTTGATTCATTTAAATAAATCAATACATAGAACAAGAAATAAAAATATCTTACAGGAATAAATAGTTCTTAAGTTAAACAAACAATCTGTCAAATCTTAATTTTATGACTCTCAAGAATCGAACGAGAACAATTAAATTTTAACTGTTATTATAGAGTGATTCCGAAACACCAACATCTGTTAATCCGACATTACTTCAACAAGTTGGTGGTGAAATAAATTCTACAGCAGCTGGTCGAGTAGTATCAAATATGGCTAAAATGGCATCAAATAAAGTGTCCGAATTACTATGTAAATATATTTAATATTTGTTGATTTTTTTTTATTATTTAATTATGATTATTAGCATCGAATTCTGAAAATCCACGTCAATCAATTACTTCATTACCTCGTGCCAATCGTCCACCACCATTTCCATTTCCGAAACAGAATCGTAAAATCGAAAAACCTAATCTAGTCAAACATAATACAACAATATCAAATAGTTCTATGCTTGCTCGACAACAAAGTGTTGAAACAAAAGCTAATACGCATAGTGAAAATCAACAATTTTTAAAAGATATTGTTACAAATGTTCTTGATGGACAAGGTATTGGTTGGTTAAAAATTAATCGAGTTAAAAAATTAATGGAAGATGAAAATTATCGAAATTTTGTACTTAGTCGTCTTAATATAAATCTCGATAAGAAATATTCCGATGAAGATGATCATATTGAAGATATTGTAAGTTGATTTTATTTTTTCTAAGAAAAATTTCTATAAACCTTTTTCTTTCTTAGAAAGTTACACGAACTGTTTTCAAAGGTATGACAAATATCTTACGTGCTGTGATTCAAGGTCTTGAAATAACATTTGAAAATAATGGACTTGGTGGTATGGCATCAACATTTCAATTACTTGAAATAGCTCATACACATTATTGGATAAAAGATACGAAAAATGATATGAGTCCAATGTCAGAACGAAATAGTCCTCTAAGTGGTAGTCGAGAAAGTTTAGCATCAATTGATCCAAATATTCCATCAAATCCACCCATTATTTCATCTCAACAACAACAACAACTACTTCAGCAACAACAACAGCAATTACAACAACAACAAAATAATATGTCAAGTCCAAATTCTGGACTTGTTGCTCAATTAGGTAAATAGAATTTTTCTTTTTTCGAATATTTCTTTTAGAACAATACATTTCCAGGAAGTTTATGGCGCGAATCAAAATTAGCATTAGCACGTAGTTATGCAACAGCTGCACATGCAAGTATGAATTTAGGAGGAAGTGTAGAGCTACGTACTAATCCTAAACATTCATTTTCACCTCATGGACCATTCCATTCAACACTAACTGTTAGCCCATCACTTTCATCTGGTATTAACACAAATATTCGTCCGATTAATACCGAGCAACCACCCGGTACATTAAATGTACTAAATGTTGTGCCCTTTCTTGTTTGTTTGTGTGTGTTTGTTGTTATGAATTTACTAGAGAAAAAACAAAATAACCTATTTACATGTTTTGTTTTCGTTTTCATATAGATCCAGTTGAAGTCAATGGTGATGAATATCAGAATATTGAAGTTTCATCTGAAACAAAATCTACAAATAATAACGGTGAAAAAAGTCAAAATCGACCACGTAATTTTAATTATTTAGTTTTATTTTATTTTATTTTTCTTGTTTTGTAGCAACTGAAAATCAAGTTCGACCTGATTCATTAAGTTTTACCAATGAAGTCAGTTGGATTTTTATTAGATAAAATTAATTTTTCTTTCTTTATTAATATTATTAGGTATCATCAAAACTACGTATGACTATTCCACGTATAAATTCAGCAGTCAATGATGATGAAAGTGGAACAGATTCAAGTGCATCTAGTCGACGTCAATCGAAGATAAACCATCATCATATACGTACGTCAAATCAATGGACTGATGAAAAATTAAAAAATAAACAATTATCGAACATATCAACAGCTAAAAGTTCTTTTTCAGCTGGACATAGGTATGTAAAACAGCTGTTTCTATCAAAGTTTTCAATCACGATCATATATTCGATATACACAATGTCTACCAGATCTGATAAACACTGAGTTATTTACCAGACTTGGTAAACAGTCTATATTGTATACTACATTTGGCAGACACAGCAAAAGCGTGTCGAGGACGTGCACACATCTAGGAAACTGTATAAGTCAACTATCTGTTTATCTATAATCTACTAGAATATATTTCGAGTATTAACAAGTATATACCACATTGAAGGAGGATGATTATGTGTACGAATCTTCAAAATAGTTTTGATTAATTGTTTCTATCAAGTTGTATGACTAACAGTAGATGATCGAGTATCGATTCTATCTGACACTACTAACATATCATATTCTCAAAACAAGATTACAGAAATATCCAACAGTTTTATTTATTTGAATTGTTCTACTTAATATACGAGATACATGATAAACATAATGTGAGCAACAAACTATGGGACAGTTAATTATCTGTATACAGAACTTGGATTGAACTAGCGATTCAAAATAGATAATAATAACAAGGAACATCTATTTTTGAGTTTGATGTAATACCACAAAAATCTTTATAATCATGTCTATAGTGCAGCAATTTAGCCTTTCGTGATAAGAAAAATAACTAAATCTTAATAAATCCATCATCATATATGAAAACTAATTAATTCAAATGCTTGACATAGTACTTCTTAAGATTTAGTCTGATCTATATTTTTTTTTAGTAATTATAAAGATTTGTTAGTATTATTAATTCTATCAATACTAATTATTGAATTACTTTAGATTTCGTAATGGTTCACTTCATCCAGTGACTGAAAATAATTTTATGAATATTAATGATAAACAATATTTATTTGAAGTATTAATTGGTAGTACACGAAGTCATTTATGGGATCAAATGCAAGTTTGGGAAGATGTTTTTCTTGATGCTGTTGCTCAAGAACGTGATATTATTGGTCTTGATCAAGGTCCAGCTGAAATGATGGAGCGGTATAATTAAAAACAAAAAAAAATTATTTTCTAATTTATATTTTTAGTTATTATTCATTATCAAATGCTGATCGTAAACGTTTAGAATTAGATGAAGATCGTTTATTAGCAGTTATGCTTTACAATTTAATTGCATTTATGATAATGATGCGTGTCAGTAAAGAAGAAGTTCGTCGAAAAATTCGTCGAGTCCTTGGCCGTTGTCATATTGGCTTAACAATGAGTCAACAAGTTAATGAATTACTTGATAATGTCGCAAATTTAGTAAATATTAAAATCTAAAAAAAGAAAATAATATTATCTTCTTTTCTTTTATCTTATTTAGAGTGGTAATGATGTTGATTTACGTCCAGTTGGTAGTCGATTATTACAGAAACAAAGTTTTACCGTACATTGGGGAACAGATAATACTGGTGATATGCTTTTTATGGAGGTTAATAGAAAGATTTTATTGATCTATAGATTGTCTAAAGAATATTTATATTAGGTTTGGGATGATTGTATTATTCTTCGAAGTGTATTAGGTGAAGTTTATGATCGTTGTTGGTTTGAAAAATTAGTTAATATGACATTTTGTCCAAAGACTAAAGTACTTTGTTTATGGCGTAAAGCTGATGGTGAAACACAACTCAATAAATTTTATACAAAACGAGTAAAAGAAAATGAAAATATACTTTTGTTTGTTTTAAAAATATTTTCTTTTGAATTTTTTTAGTGTCGAGACTTATATTTTTCAATAAAAGAAGCAATGGAAAAAGCAGCATCACGAATGAAAGGTTCATTACCTGGTAAAAGTACAAAACCTTTTTTCAATTGAAAAAGATATATTTTGATGCGATTTTTAAAGGTCAAGAACTCGGTGGTGAATTTCCAATAAAAGATGTTAATACAGGCGAAGGAGGAATATTACAAGTTTGTCTTGAAGGAATCTGTTTAACATTTGAAAATGATAAAGTATGTATTAAAAGCAAAACTAATATTGATAATTTTTATATATTTATTTTAAAGGAATTTATTGAATTACAAAAAATTCGAAAATGTACAACACAAAAAGGAGACATATTTGTACTTGAAGAATTTGGTATAAATATAAAAGACATGATTAGATTTCATTTATTTTATTAACTTTATGTTTTTTTTTATTAGATCCGAATACAAAACAAATACTTCTTAGAAAATATAAATCTCCAACGGTAGGTTATATCTATTAATTCATATAGATTTGTTGTAATACACATTAGTTGTTGTCTTATTTTAATGTTGTTTTGTTATTGTATATATATATAGGCGAGTAATATCCTGCTTGCTTTTCATCGTGTTGTATCTATTATTATTGAACGTCGTAAAGCATCCTCCGCTAATGTTTTATCCAATGGTAATAATCATTATTTACAACTACCTGGCACTGAAACAGGTATTGGAATATATTAGTTCAAACTTTAGATCTGTCGTGTTAAATTGTTATAACTAAAATGAATTATTATATTTTATTTTAGGCTGATCGTATTTGTTATGCTATTTTATGTGTATTCTCTTATTTGGCAGCTGGTAATGAACAGCAACAATCATAAAAATCTCATTTTATATCATCTGACAAATTCGTGATAATACCATGAATTGAATTTTATCTCTATTTAATTTCAACCTTTCTCTCTCTCTCTCTTTCCCATTTAATATTCTTATTATAACAATCCCATTGTCTTCCTTGTCTCGTCATTTTTATTCTGTTCTAGTCATCTCTAGTTAAATAGTTTATTTATTATATTATCTATTAACAATAAAAGTGCAACAGAATGATGATGAATTAATGTATTCGTATGTGTGTATATGTATTCATCTTTCTTTTTTTTTTTTTTGCTTTCACTTTCTCATTGTAGACAAGATATGTGGAAAAAAAAGAAGTTTTATTTGTTGTTTACTCATTCAATTTTATTTGTCTCTTTCTTTTTTCTCTTTCATCTCATGTGTACAGTGTTCTTTTATTTCACTTTTACCGATTCCCAAAAATATATTCCTGTTTACATATGCAATAGAATATGCCTTTATTTATTCAAGAAAAATTTTATGGAATAAAAAAAAACGTATAAGACAAAAAAATTCTTTTTTGAAACAAATTGACGAATAGATTTTAATCGAAATTTCAATAGGGGTTTAAATAAACTGATTATTCATTGATAGTCAAATATATGGACCAGTCATTTGTTGTCAATGAGCAATATATCTATATAATCATCAGATGGGTTTGTACTCTCTATTATTCATAGTTTTTGTTGTGTTAGAATTTCATCAGTATTTACCAAACGCCTTCAACAAAATTACCAATTCCATTCATCTAGAATATTATTGAACTTAATCTACATTAAGTATATTGTCAACTTGACTTGTTAGCATATTGCTAGAAAATATTTTGGCACACATATATATATATACAATATATCTAATCCATTGTTTCATAAACGCACTTTTTTGCCTTTTCTGAAAAATTTGAGATGATGAATAAAGGTACATGCATAGATTTTTTTTTAAATTGTCGCACGTAGGCGTGACGTCGTTGTTGTCGCAACGACATCGGTTAAATACTCTCAATTTCATTTTTCTTCTCTGCTTTCTATTAAAAAGGCATTTTACAGACAAATATATAAATGATCTTTCTTCTTTTCAACTCCTATTGATTACATATTTATATATATATATATATAGACATAGTCGATATTTGAATTCATTCATTCATCATCACCTTTGGTATTTTTAGCATACCAAAATGAAATCTTTAATATTCTTAGCTGTTTTAATATGTATAATTTTTTCATCTGGTAAGAAAAAACCAAATTTATGAAATATATGTAAATTTTTATTATTCTTCGTTTAGCACAAGCTCGATCATTTCAAACTAGAGCATATAATAAGAACATGTTGAGAGACTTATTTATTGATACTCCAACTTATTCAGATTTAGTGGCTCTACTAAAAGATTCTCAAATACCAGTACATAAAAAAAATGATTATAAATCCATATTAGCAAGTCAACCAGAATATTTCGTACCGGCAAATCAACAATTTATTCCAATGGCTACTCGATCACCAGTTCGTCGAAATCGATTATCGAATGCTTATGGACGAAAATCTCATTGGGATACATTTTTTGGAAAGAAATAAATAATTCTATGACAGCATATATACATATATATCTTCCAGTTTGCATCTAGTCACGCAAACAATATATATATACTGGATATGTGATAGGTTAATTTTTATCTATCATTTTAACTTCATGATCATAATACTTATGTTTTGAACGTGTTTGTTTTTGCTTTCTCACTTATTAAATACTTGTGTTTAGAAAAAAAACCTATTCTTTACACAAGCGAAATTTTTGGAACAATATTTGCGGTGTGTACTGATAGTTTACATAGATATTCATGTGGTATTAGAATATTCAGTAGATAAAAAAAAGGAAGAAGTTAATTCAGACCTAGAATAAATAGAAAAACATATTTACATATTGCAAAAAAAAACCAATTCGTTTAGTTAATTGCTTTTCTTTTCTAAATAAAATATAAATGTGTCGAATGCATCCATACATGAAATGTTTTTAAATGAGATTGTATGTTTAATTTGTTGTCAATTGTAGTATTCGATGTATTACAAGTTAGTCTTCTTAAGGTAAAATTATATGTATTCAAATACATTGAGATTATATTTTAATGTCAAATGAAGGTTGTTGCACTTATTTTTAACTTGGTAATTATCTATATTTTATTGTCAATGTTCATTTAAGATTTTGAAATGGACAATAGAATTCATCGGTTTATCTTTTAATTGAAACTTATTAAATAAAATATTTATAAGCCCAGTTTGTAATCGCTATATAAATCACGATCTGTATTGTAATGTAAAAAAATATAAGCAGACAATACATAATTATCAAGGTTAGAGAATATTTAATGACTTTTGTTTTAGTTAATTAGATACTTGAAAAAATTTTGAATCAAGGAAAAAAACTCCAAAAGTTATGGTGCCATACTAATAGTTAGATACTACTGGAGTACCTAAAATTCATTATAGACATCAGGAAGCTAATTAAAATTTGAAAGAACATATTAAAACTTAGATAATGTTTAGTACACAAGTCTATATTTATATTATTCTGGAATGATAAATGAGAAATATATCTATTAAAATTCAATTTTATTATTGCTACACTTGGTGGTGTTCTTAAGATTCTCAGAAGAGATTTGGTTATATATCCAGAAATTATCTTGAGACACTTTTAAAGTAAAAAAAAATGACTACTGGAATTGATCAGCTTTTCTCAAATGAAGTATTTGTAAGGAAAAATAAAATATACTACGAGATTCAGCTCATCGAGCACTAGAATCCAGTGTATATATATTGCTACCGTTCCATTCGAAAGACAATTATATATGCAAATATAGTTCTGTGTTTGAGATAGTAAAGAATAAGATATTTTGTAGATTCAATGACTTGTCCATTCGTTTTGCAAGATATATTTATGGAAAAAATAATTGTAATCAGTTTTTCTCAACACATTATCGTTATCGACGAATATTTGTTTTTAAAAAGAAAATATAGATTTTTAAAATATTCTATTAAATTGTGTATTTTACGTTTTACTTATATCTATTAGCTAGAACAAAATAAATTGATTACAATGAAGAAATATTCAGATTCAGATTTCTTAAGGATATGAATCTACCTACAATGTACAAAAATATTAATTATGCCAGAGCAGTTATTCAATAATCAAAGACAATTAATTATTTTCTTATCCAAGATTGATAGTAAGAAATCAAAGGAGATAAAAGCATTTCTATTTTGAACGGAAATCTATTACTGTAAACATGCATACCTATGAAAATAGATGAGTAATACATACATCACTCTTATCCATACTCTTCAATGAAATAAAATATTATCAAAAAGTTTAAATAAGAATGCATGCTAATTGATTAGTACAAAAATTGATGATATAGTTCACGATATTTCTTTAAAAAGACAGGCGTCTCAAAATAGAAAAATAACCTAAAATAGTTTATTATTCAATCTAGTAACCAGGATTGCTACATTACATTACTTTAGTAACAATAATTACGTAAGCTAATAAGAAATAAATACCAAAGTGAACATACAAAGTAATAAAAACATTTGTGGTCAACGACAGCATATCTTCTCATACATCAGAATACCATGTCTAATTTCCAACGAAACTAATTTCATTTAATAGATTATTCTTCAAGTTTTTTTGGTATCGCAGTAGTCATCTAGAGAAATGAACGTTCTGTTGGGTATGACGTACATAAAAAAATATAAGTCATTAGAATTTGATATGATGCTCTCATACGATGTCTATTCTATGCATTCAGCATATCCAAGCAGTTCTAGAATATAACAATTGATCAGAAAATAACATTCATGACTTAATAGTGTATTTGTTCATTTTTGTTTCGATTGTCTTAAATAAAAATATCCATTCATTGTTAATATCAACATAACTATGACACATATGAATTAGTCTAAAGAGTAAAGTCAGTATACAAGTTATGTCACGTTCGATCGACAACTAATGAACGTATTCTATGCATATTATTGTTTTCTTCATTACAATCCAGTAGATTTCTAAGTTTTTATTGTTCTCATATTTCATCTATCCTTCATATCTGTGCGAAAAACAAAACCATCGTTAAACAAACATAGATGTGTCTTTACTGTAAAAGATCATTTGACATCGTTCACATAAATAGCTGAGTGTAGGTAAAAGATAAAAGACCCACACCTACCGTTTCTAAAACACAGCAATTAAACTGCTCACACTATTTGACAAAAAAAAGGTATAGTTGGAAAAAATTGATTTGTTCCAATGTATTATTGAGTTATTCATTTCCGATATTCATTTAAGAACGATTACTCATACTTTATCATCACATGTGAATTGACTCTGATCAGAATACATATAGCTAGTAACAAGGAATGATTAATATTCCTGACATTTATATTTATACCCACTCAGTTGTACAGATAGTGATCTGTCTTTTATCAACTATGACTCTTCTTCAACAACCACTATACAATATCACTTCGGAATATTACTGAAACTCACATATTATTTGATGAATGATAATTTATTAAGAAATGTGCATGATTAAATAGTTTGATTACATATAGAAAAAATGAATGACTTTCAGTTCACGAAAGAAAACGTCATTTTGTCTATATCAATTGAAAAAGCTCAGCACTATTCAAATGACCACCCTCGTTCCCTCCACCAGCAACTAGTACTGATCCATTTGCTAATATAGATGCTGTATGAAATCGTCGCTCCGCACTCATGTTTCTTGTGGTTGTCCAAATACCTTTTGTTGGGTTGTACAATTCAGCACTATTGAGATAACCACCAGTGTTCTCTCCACCAGTAACTAATACTAATCCATTTGTTAATGTGGATGCTGTGTGAACTGCTCGTGCGTTACTCATAGTTCCTGTAGTTGTCCACGTGCCCGTTGATGGATTGTACAGCTCAGCACTCTTAAGAGTGACGCCATTGGTTCCACCAGTAACTAATACTAATCCATTTGCTAATGTGGATGCTGTGTGAATTGCTCGTGTGTTACTCATGTTTCTTGTAGTTGTCCAAGTGCCTGTTGATGGATTGTACAGCTCAGCAATATTGACAACACCACCACTGCTCTGTCCACCAGCAACTAATACTTTTCCATTTTCTAATGTGGATGCTGTGTGATAAAAGCGTGCGAGGCTTATCTTTCCTGTAGTTATCCAAGTACCTGTTGCTGGATTGTACAATTGAGCACTATTGGTAGAAGTGGTGCTGGTGACCTGTCCACCAGCAACTAATACTGATCCATTTGCTAATGTGGATGCTGTATGAGATCGTCGTACGACACTCATGCGTGCTGTAGTTGTCCAAATGCCTGTTGCTGGATTGTATAATTCAGCACTATTGAGATAAACACCGTTGCTTATTCCACCAGTGACTAATACTAATCCATTTGCTAACGTCGATGATGTGTGATATGCTCGTGTGGTATTCATGCTTCCTGTAGTTGTCCAAATGCCTGCTGCTGGATTGTACAATTCAGCACTATTGAGAGAAGTATTATTATTGTATCCACCAGCAACTAATACTAATCCATTTGCTAATGTGGATGCTGTGTGACCAAATCGTGCGACACTCATGGTTCCTGTCATTGTTCGTTCTAAATAAGGTAGAAAAGTGAGTAAAAAATGTTCTTCTGAAAATAACTTAGAATCTGTTATATGCATAAATTGACTATCCATCGACTATAGACTAAATGATTTCAAACTTCTAGTAAACTTCTTTTTGTTTTCATCATTAAGATAAGATTCATTATAAAATGTTAAATTAGATTAATCAAAAATATGTTATAAACTACTTCATTGATATTTTTCGAGTTCTACTGATGTTGCTAACTAATGAAATTCAACCATCGTCTAACAGTTCAATTATGATGAATAATGATCGAATCTTGAACTTTGGGTGAAAGTCATTTTACATTGTTCAACATAGTGAAAACAAGATGTATTTTCACCATCTTGGATGAATGGTGTATGCACGTGTCAGGATGTAGATAAGAATGAATGTCATTGAGGATGTAACTGTGAGTAAAAGAATATAATTCTCGTATCGTTCTCATGAGAAAATCAGTACACTAAGAGTTAATTGATGACGATGGTGAAAAGCGTTTTTCTCGAGTTTGAAGTTTGCAGTTTATCTTACTAAGATATTTTTTTGAATTATTCAACTCTATACAAATGCGACCTAGAACATGAGATTATATGTTGATAGAAATGTCTCATGTCGATATTATGTCAACTAATACTTCAACGTGTAGAATTATTCTCTGATCATCTTGACAGTGGGTGGGAGTGAGTGATTAGGGGTAGGACAGTTCATAGTTCCAAGTTCGGATGAACTGGTCAAAAGAACTACCAGTTCAGTTCTTCTGGAAGGAACTGAACTAAACCAACAGTTCTTTGAATAGAATAGAACTGAACTCTACCAAACAGTTTAGTTCCACTCAAAGAACTGAACTGTCTGAAAACTAGTTTTTCGTAAATAAAAACAGATTTGAAACCGACCAGTTCCTCTGAAAGAACTGTTGATACAGTTAAGTTCCTTTCAAAGAACTGTTTGGTAGAGTTTAGTTCTATTCGAAGAACTGTTGATACAGTTCAGTTCTATTCAAAGAACTGTTAGTACAGTTCAGTTCTTTTCAAAAGAACTGTTAGTACAGTTCCTAAGAACGGAACTAATATGGAACTTTCTTACCCCTATGAGTGATTACGAAAATGATCAATGAGCTCTATCACATGAAAACCTGTTTATTAATAATGTTTTCATTTAGTACTATTGGGCAGGGCGAGAGTATATAATACTTGAATGAATGTAGATCAAATAAAATCATCAAAAACTGGCCCTATTTCGACCTCTGATAGAAAATGTTCTCTAATGTTGTCTATTTAGACGGTGCTCATTCAATAGTTAAAATCAAAAATTTTAAATATCGTCACTTCTAGTAATCATCTTTTGAGTCACTACAAAGGATTCAACATAGTACTTACTCGGTATTGCTGTCGTTGTTGTTGTTGTTGTTGTGGATGTTGCTTCTGCTGTTGTCGTTGTAGATGTTGATGATGTTACTTCTGCTACTGATGATGTTGTTGTTGTTGTTGAAGTTATTGTTGATGATGTAGTTAATGTTGTTGTTGATGTTGCTGAGGTTGATGATGGTGATGATCGTGTTGTCGACATTTTTGTTTTAATTATTGTTGTTGTTTTTGTTATAGATTCTTTTGTTGTCGTTGCGGATGTAGTTTCACTCTTCTTTCCGTTTG